TTAATAAAAAGCTACTCATGTTCTGAGTGTCTCTTTCACAAAGTTATAAATGGATAGAGAGACTGAAATACATTCAGCAATTTAGAAAATATTTACCTTCAATCAGAATGAAAATCTGGGGTACACTGAATATTAGCCCAGTCTTGAACAAATTACCACATTTGAGAACAAATCCGCAATATCACCCACAGTAAACAGAAGTGTGGAAATAGTGATACAGAAGTGTCTAAGCCACAGAATGTATGGTGATTTCCAGGGGCAATGAAAGCCTCTGCAGTGTTTTATCAGCTGGGATCAAGGCCAAATATCAAAGTTGTTGTTTATCTCAAGAAAACATTTGCCAACATATTTTCCCAATTGCTGTTGCTGTCAGAGGATATTCTCCCTAGATTTTATTGTGTATGTAATAGGAGGAAATACAATGAACCACTGGTACCCTGAGTAAGATTCTAGCAGTTCATGAGCCCAGCCCCAACCCTGCTAACTCCAGTAATAAAGCCAGAACTACCAATTACTCCTAAGAGGAGTTTGCTTGTATACTAAATTTCTCAACTTAAACATCTGTTGTTCAAGTTACTATGTCCTGAACTTCTAAGATCTGGAAGCAAAAGAGACTGAGAATGTGCAAATCTACATAGATTGAAAATCAATAAATGACATTGTATTTCTCTCACCTTTATGGACTATGATAACCAATAGTAGAAGTCAAAAACCACAAATCTCTGTTTATCCAAATAAATCTTTACAGAACACTCCTACACTGGCTACTTCACATAAACTTGCCTCAGAAATTTAATGTATGAATTCAATCAATTTTCTGTGCCCTCTGTAAGGCTCTTAAAATGTCTTTAGGTAAAATCTGAGAGCCAGGGGAGGTGGCAGAGGCCTGTAATCCCAGTGGTTTATAATTGTGTTTTGAAAGACACTCTCAGCATCTTAGCAAGTCTCTAAGTAACTTAGACATTGTCTCAAAATAAAACATAAAAAGGACTGGGGATGTGGCTCTGTGTTTAGCACTCCTGGGTTTATCTCCCAGTGCCAAACCAACTAAGATGAACAATTTCTGAAAGATTACAATTATGCCAGTGTATATATACTTGTAAAAATATTAGCGAAAATTTAAAAAATTAATAAATATATTTTTTTGAAAAAGTGTTAAGGTTCTTCAAAAGCTCAAGATAAAAATGACATATAATCCACTAATCATAATTTTGGGTAGCAAAGCAAGGCTGCACATGCCTATGCTCCAGTGGCTCAGGAGAATAAAAAGGGAGAATGTCAAGTTCAAGACCAGTCTCAGCAATTTGGCAAGGTTGTAACCAAATGAGTGAGATGCTGTCTCACAAAAGGGGTACAGGTTGGTGTATAGCACAGTGACAAAGTGCCCATGGGTTAATCTAGAGTGACTCAATAAATAATAATAATAATAATAATAATAATAATAATAATAATAATAAAATCTGGCTAAAAAATGAACATATAATCCAGTAATAATATTTCTGGGTATACATCTAAATGAATGGTAAAACTTTTCTCAAAGAAATAACTGCAATTCCAATTTCATTGTAGCTTTATTCACATTATCTAATAAAAAAAAAAAAATGAAATGCCAGCCAGGCATGGTGGGAAATGCCTCTAATCCCAGGGGCTTTGGAGTTTCAGGCAGAGGATGGAGAGTTCAAAGCAGCCTCAGCAATATTAAGACACTAAGCAACTCTTTCCAAAGAAAATGTAAAATAGGGCTGGGGATGAGGTTAAGTAGTGGAGTGTCTCTGAGTTTAATTCCTATTATGCACCCCCCAAAAAACATCCTTTTAGATGAAAGGAACATCAAAAGATTCCTTCCAGCTTCACAGCATCCAACTACTCCCCTTAGATGCTACACACTTATAGTTCAAACTGATCTCTAGAAAACAAGACTCAGATAATGATATTTCCTACATAAGCTAAGAGACATTGATATCTGTGGACACCTTATGTCAGACTGTTCTAAAACTAAGGACTGGGCAAATATGGGAGGTTGGAATGAGAACACAACACAAAGTTAAGTTCTTCAAAGGGGAATCTTAACTCACACACTGTGATATCTGAAACCACAGTTGGAGATAAAATTAGATTCTTTGCTTCACTGATTTCTGGGTTATTAATTCAATCCAAACAGATATTGAAAAAGTATTAAGGCTACTGGTTAATGTCTATGTAAAACAGGTTATTAAAATGGTATCAAGTTAGGGCTGGGGTTTCGGCTTGGTAACAGAGTGCTTGCCTAGCATGTTGAGGCACTGGGTTCGATCCTCAGATCCACATATCACAATAAGTAAAATAAAAGTCCATTGATAACTAATTTTTTTTTTAATGTACCAGGTTTCTCACATGGCTTTTGATGTTCAGATTCACTATGTACTCTAGCCCATGTGATTAAACTTCCTTATAGTTTAAATTAAGTCCAGTCCCATCTTTATTTTCCTCCATATTAGGACAAAGATGTTTGCTGGAAATGTTTGGAATGCTTCTACAGGTCATTTTAATAAAGTGGTCTTACATATATGGAAAGAAAAACCTCAATTAAGGTCCCATTACATTTTTAAAAAGTCTTTAATTGGGACTGTGAGGATGGCCTTAGCCCTGAGCTTAAACAACTCCATTTTAAAAACTCCAGTTTGAAACATGCAGTCACAGCAGGCACACCCACAGAGTCCTCCAGTATGGCCTAAAAAAAAAAAAAAAAAAGTTACTTCCCCTTAACCTGATAAACAGAGTAAACATCTGGCAGGCTATACTTGCCTGATAAGAGAGAAAGACAAGAAAATCAGAGTGGAGACCACAAGACCAGAAGTTTCTGAACCCAGGGTAAAGGATGTCATGGAGAAATCCCATGATAGATAATAAGAATTGAAAGAGAGGTTAAAAGACCCCAAATTTAGTATAAATAATATAGCTATTGAGCAGGGAATTAGCCAGCAGAAACTAGGATGCACTCAAGCTGAAGAGCCTGATGAGGACCCGACACCCCATCACTTGTCATGGTTCTTTTGATCCTCTGCATGATTTTCTCATCTCTCAAACTCTACCATTTCATCTGAACTTTGGTGAAAGTAACAACTTCTCCATAGGTTCGCTCCTCAACATGTTGTCCACTCCAAGCCAGGATAAGCCTGCCTTGGTTCTGGACCTGGTCACCATGGTCTGAGTGAGTGTGCATCTGCTGGACTAAAAGCCTAAGGCTTAAGAATTTTGTTCTGACATTTAAACTTAGTACACAGAGGGAATGTCTATCACTAGCCTGTCATGATTAAGTGACTTTTGCAGTGTTTAGAATTAATCTATAATTCTTAGCAGTGAATTAATCAACCTTTTTTTTGCTGTGAATGGATTATGTCTATTGCAGTGCCTAGCATTCAGGATTGTTATTTTCTTGAGTAAGAACCTATCGAGTATAAATGCATTCAGCAATTTGAGTGAATAAAGCATTGAAAGGGGCAGAAGCATTTGGACATTTTTTATTTCTCTCCTTGACTGCATATGTTGCAATTTTGCCCCTGGCGACTGGGACACATTGACCATATTATGTTATTAAGAAAAAAGTCATTATTCTTAATGTCATCTAATTTTTCCCTACTTTTTTCTTATGTGAAAGTCTCACAAGGATAAAGCAAGTCTTTTAAAATTGCCATCCAGTTCTTGGAGAAAAAAAAATACAAATAAAGCATCCCTTTAAAACAAAACATGGGAAAAAATAATTATGTTGAAACTGAAGTTTTGAGATGAAACTAAATTTCCCATTTAACCAATATTCTCTGGGATCTTGTCCCACAAGTTTTGAAGAATAAAATCTATGGACACTCAGGGAAGGTTTTAGTAAAAAGAATAGGATTTATTTTAGCAAGAAGAAATACAACTCCCAAAATGTGGGAGAGGGCATGATAGCAGAATAACCCATTTTATTTTTGTGTCAGGTTCAAAGTTTAAATATGGTTTTTGGCAGACCACTGGTTAAAATCTATTTAAAATGAGTATTGAAAAAGGCATTCTTATTACCAACTAGCCTCAAGTTTGTCCTTTCTGTATCCCATCCTCCTTCCAGTGACTTCCAACTGGGTTCACCCCAAGGACAAAGAATTTGGTTGAAGGTATTCCCACAAGTGAGTCTCAAGTGTTCTTTTAATTTGAATAGGCCTTAATGGTGCTCATTAACATATCTATCCATTAACCTTCAGGTGTGGTTAAACAAGATGTCCATTATTCAGCTGCCTTGTCATTATGCTATCTATTTTATTTTATTTTTTCTCAATCAAGTTGAGCAAGAAACCATGCCTTTGAGAATGTGAAGAGAGCTGGAAATTTGGGATTTAATCTCAGATCTACAAATAGCTAAACTATCAGATAGCCATTATGGATTTGAGATACTTCTTAGTCTACATTTAGAAAGCTCAGGAGGCATGAGGATGTTGAGTTCAAAACCAGCTTGAGCAAGTTAGTAAGGTTCTAAGAAACTCGGTGAGACCTTGTCTCTACATAAATATATAGAAAAAGGTTGAGAATTATTCCCCCCGGGAATAATTCCTGGTCTAAAATAAACAAACATATATACAACAATAAAAAACACTTAGGGGGAACAAGAACAGGGTCCCTAAAAAAGCCACAGCTTCTCTCACACAGGAACACTACTAATGAAGTTGAGGTCCTCTTCTGATGATTATCCCAGTCTTCACCACATATTCTGGGGACATGCTGAGCTAATGGCACACAGATGCCCACATAGGAATTCAGGAAGGCCCTGAATATACCATACAATTATGGAACAAAAGACTTGAGGTCTCAAATACTGATCTAAGCTCCACTATACTAGTCAGAGAAAACTAAAGGCTAAGCTGCCAAGGAGAGACCTTCTACCCACCAGACTCTGGAGACAATTATGAGGAGTTTCCAGCCACCATAGCCAATCCCACTGGCTTCAAACAGCCTCCCTACCCAGTCTCAAAATAAGAACACACACTTACCATTTTCTGGATTTCAGGATGCTTAGTGTTCCCCTTATATTTTTTTTCAGCTCCAGTATAGCACAGAAACCTGGAAGCATAGAAATGGATTCAATGAATGGCAGACTCCAAAAAAGAAAGGAATAGAAGACTTTGGAAGTCTGCCCCCTCTTCACTGGCTGTGTCTTGATTGGACAGTTCTCACCCAAGAGACAGATTGGAAAGGGCTTCAAGAACTTCCTCCAAAATTGAGGCCTGTAGTGACACCACTGGTAACTGGTGACAAGTCTTCCTTTTCCACATGTTGAAATTTGAACATTAGAGAAGCATGTTGAGGCAAGCGTACAAAGCAGGGTTTATTTGGAAAAGAGTAACATAGACCATAGCTGGTATCAGGGTATCTCAAGAAGCAAGGTGTTCTGCCTGTAAGGGTAAAAGAAATTGAAGTTAAAGCGTAAAAGTTAAAGGGTAAAAGACCGGGTGTTGTAAAGTTTCTAAGCTGCAAGGTCTGAGTTAAAATGTAAAGGATTAGGTATTGTTAGGTTTCTATGTTACCTGCAAAACCTGAAATCCCTGTAGCTGTTAGGACAATACTGGAATTGCCCAGTAAACATTTCCCCTGGCTGTTTGGTTATTTAATAACTGAAGGGCTCTGTGTAACTGGTCACAGAGTCCTTTAGGCCCTAAAACCAATCAGTTTGAATGTGTACCCCATTTAGAAATGACCTATCACTCCAGCCTGACCTGTTCCCGCCAATGAATGAACTAATCATGTTTAGAAGTTGTTGTTCAATTTTCCCGCGCCTCATGATGATTTGTTCTGATGTATACAAAGCCCTCCGCCCTCCCCAAAAAGTGTACTTAAGCAGTGCTCAGCCCCTGCTCGGGGCTCTGGGCTGCTTTCCCTTCTTGAGTGGGCACAGAGCCCCAGCATGCTGGTTCAATAAATCACCTTCTGCCAATTGCATGAGTGGTCACTTGGTGGTCTCTTTCTCCAATGCTTTGCCTGACCCTTACACTGCCCTTTTTATATGTCCTAGGCTTCCTTTGTTCTCCTGCCTTTCCCCCCTTATCTTTCTCCTTCCTGAGGACATGTCTAGGCCCAAAAATGCTTGGTGGGATGGCCTAAAGTTGGGAAATAGGTGGGTTTAAGGGGGAAGGGCAGGATGGAGTACAAGGACACATTAACATTCTTATAGCTCTCTGTAGGGAGGGGAAATTCCTGGGACAGGTTACCTTGGTAGCAGGTTGGAGCAGGCACAGGTTCCTGATAATATCCATCAGGGGACAGTCTCCAATTTCCCAGATTCACTCAAAATTGGCTTCCTAGATTTAATCTGACTTGATTTACCTCTCTACACTGACAGGCTGTCTAAATCAGTAGGCCTACTGTTTGAGTGATAGTAAACTTCATCCAGATCAGAATCAAATAAGGACACAAAGACAGGTTTTTGTCTGCTCTGATTTGTTGATCAAACACTGGGGATCTACCACTTGCAGGGGTGCATGCCTGTAATCCAAGCAACTGGAGAGGCTGAGGCAGGAGGACAGTGAGTTCAAAGCCAACTTCAGCAATGGCAAGGCACTAAGAATTTCAATGAGAGATGTGTTTAAATAAAATAGAAATAGGGCTGTGAATGTGGTCTCAGTGGTCATGTGCCCCTGAGTTCAATTGTCAGTAGAAAAAAAAAATACTGAAGATCAGATCCATGGGTATGATTCATTAAAAAGTACCAGTGTTGGGAAAAGTATAAATGGCAGCCATACCCCAGAGAAAAAACCCCAACATGGCGCCTAAGCACCTCTTCTTCCTACCTTCTTCTTTTCTGCAGTGGCGCGAAAAGTTGCCGCCCCTGTGAACTCTCCCGCAGGCACCAATTTCAAATCTCGCTGGCAGGGAACCTTAGCCCCAATGGGAACTAATTCCTGGGCTCCGGAGCTGATATCTGAAAGAACTTGCCAATAAACGGGTTGCCTGCCATTTATCTAAGCCCTACCATCTACCCCTTAGTTCTATATAAGCACACTGCTTTTTGCAATAAAATTGGAATTCTCCCGGCAAAGTGTCTTTGTGTGGGGAATTCTTTCACCCAGGAGCACAGATGAAAGGATTGATGGATTAATAGAAACATAGATAGAGTCCTGGGGAAGGGTCTCAAATACTCCTCTAATGTATTTTCAAGTAACTGATATTACAATATTACAGGCATGCTCCACAGCCTTGGAATCTTTGTATATATTTTATTTTTTGTTTTTTTTTTTTATTTTTTTTCGCTGTGAATTGCATTAAATGCCTCAGGATAAATTTATTTCATGGAAGAGTTTCCTCCCAATATTTAGATCTAGCCCAGACAGAAGTGCATTTATATAAAAGTTAAATATCACAATTACTTTAAAATTTTATTTAATATTTCTGTTCTCTGGCCTTATGAGAAAAGACCTTGAGACTTCAACTCATAAGTAATTCCCTGAGGCAGCATTGTCCCTACTCCCCTACAAAAAAATGGGGCAAAAATAAAATTTTAAAGTTTCTAGTTTAATAAAATAAACAAGAGGTGAACAGTGCCAGGTCTCTAGATCTCTCAATATTCCAGAACCTAGAGTATAAGGAATTAAAAAATAAATTATTTGCAATTTTTCCTTGAGCATAATAATAGAATTATGATGTTTGTTTTTTCTTTGGTTTGGGGTACTATGAGAATATTGGCACAAATCACAGGCATTATGTCTATATACATGTTTTTCTATAATTCAATACAGCCCATCAACAGAGTCAACTTCAAATTTAAATGAAGAAAATTTTAATTATTATTGCCAGTGTCCAGCCCTAGCAAGAAATCAGGGGTCCTTAAGTATGAATGGCATTGGGTACTGAAGGATATGTGGCCTCAGAAAAAGAAGAGTAGACAGGATGACAGGTTGCAAGTTACAAGTAGCCTTCAGAAGGATCTGATGCCCATAGAGGGGCCTTTATTTTTATACCTTTTTTTACAGGAATTTATAAATGTAGTTAAAATAGCATCAAAGCCCAAAACTTCTTTCATTTACATAATTTTCCATAGTTGTAATCTTTTCTGACATATATTAACTTCATAAGATATTGAACACATTGTTTAAAATCTGCTCCTGTAACCTTTGCCAATATGATTAAGCTTTTACATTTTCACTTCAATCACTAAGTACTAGACTATGCAACTTGACTACCTGTATCATGACCTATTATTAACTTTTAACTTTAAAGCATACCTATGATTATTGGTAAGCATTTTTGCTTCTAAACTAAAGTCCTAATAATACACACTTAAAAGAGTGAAAGCGTATTACTTAAAAGCCTACTACTCTGAACTGACTTTAAAATATATCTACATAAAATTTTACATTATTCTGTTTTTCCAAAGTAATTTTCTTTATTCACATGACATATTTAACTGCTTTTTTAAAGAGTTTCTTTGATCCTTCATCAAATTATGAATTTTTATGTCTTTATAAAATTTAATTAAAGAGCAGGCTCTGCACTTCAACTCATTTGCTATTAGTATTTACTATGTGTTTCCTATTTTCATCATGAATTCCTGTGTAGGGCAAAGAAGGCTCTGTTAGTAAAGGGAATGTATGTTGGACAGGTTGTGGCTTTAGAATGAGGGGCTTAGTGTAAATTGTTAAGCTTTTCTCAGGAACCTTGATTTGCAATCATTTCCCTGTGAATTTCTTAAGAAATAACACTATTGTTTGTATTGTCAGAGATACTAAAATACATCTCAGGACATATCTTATTTGTATCCTTAATCTCATTCTGGGAATTTTCCTGCAATCTCAGGCAACATGTACTTTTATTATTGATTGTTGTATGCCCTATTATCTATCTCATGAGTATCATAAACAAAACACTTAACATTACCCATGGTGGTGCAGCCCTGCCACAGAATCCCCCATACTGTGACCCAGTCAGACAGGAGGTGCAGGAACATCTTCACCACACTGTCTATAAGATACCAGCTATTTTCCACATAGAAACTAGCTGGTATCTTGTGATTGAATTGTGGCATCCAGTCAACAGTGAGTGGATTATTTATCTGTCATAGGATAACAAGTCATTCTAAAATGTATTCACTCACTGGACCCCTGAGTCAAATCCCAAGCCCTACTTTGTATTTTATTTTGAGAAAGATTCTCACTGAGTTGCTTAACACCTCATCTTTGCTGAAGCTAAAATTGAACTCATGCTCCTCCTGCTTCAGCCTTCCAAGATACTGGGATTACAGGAGTGCACCATTGCACTTGGCTCTGTTCACATATTTAATGGCAGTATTCCTTCTTTGCCTTGTCAACTGTTTTCTTTTTTCTATTGTACATTTCAAATGAATGCAGTATTTCTAATTTTTCTCCAAGAACTGGATGTCAGATTAAAGATTTTTGGTTTCTCTTTGTGAGCATTTCACATGAGAGAAAAGCAGAAAAGTGTAACTTGACAGTTTGAAAAATAAGAACAATTTGTCTCTGCTCTGTGTCTTCCCAGGTACAGACACCTTATCACAATATCTGATTTAAAATTCCTCCTTTAAGAATTTCTGGTGTGATGTGTCCTCATTCTAACCTCCTATATTGTCCTATTTGTGGGTTTCATAACTGCTTAACAAAAGGTATGAACAGCCACCATGTATAAATTCTTTTGGAGTGTCTAGTGAATATCATTCCCTGGGTCTTTTCCCTCTAGAGAGCAGTATAAACTATGAAGTGAAGGCACTCCAGGGACTCTCTGATAGCCCTTCAGCTGGCATGGATCTTTTAGTGATACAGGGCTGGGACACTCTGAAAAACTGAGATAGAATGAAGACCACCCCCTTCAAATGCAGACTTTTTTTTTTTTTCAGTCAAGACATAAGTTTCCAAACTTATCAATCAGAGTGGGAGGCAATGAGTTTATTAGAAGTGATATGAAGAGGAACTGGGTGACACTCTGACAGAAGAAAGTATGTTCTCTCTGAAAAGATAATAGCATGGCTCTCTTGAACTTCAGTTTTTTTGAAGATCTAAAAAAAGTTCCCAAAGAGTCTTGATGAGGTACACTTCTTGACTTTGGACTGACAGCAG